TCGTTTTCGTCAGATGTATCGCTTATTATTTCACCAGTGCAACGTTAATGTTAAATTATTTTTAAGTATGGAATATCGAAATTTTGACATTCTTACGAAGTTATGTGTGAGAAAATAAGCGATAATTATCAGAATTATTATTTTGTGTGCGTGCGCGTGCGTGTATATGTGTGTGTGTGTGTGTGACACGTTGAAAATTCATATTTTAACAATATATTTTAACATAACTTACTATAAATACTTGCTGCAATAATCTGTACAAAAGAATTTAGTTGTTTTGTGATAAAATATTTATTGAACCTTACTTTATTTTATTTTCAAATAATGTAAAATCAATTTATCCGTATAAACATGGATAGACAAGCTACAAGAAATTAGAAAATTAAGATAATGTTAAAGATGTTAAATTACGAGAAACAATAACTGCTTGTTTTTGTTTGCCATTAATCGAAATATGCTACGTGATTGTAATTTGAAGTCCAATCTTACAGTTAATACGAAAATTTCGTAATTTTAATAGTTTTACGAAAGACATCATGAAATAATTCCTCGGATTTCCCCAATGTTTGGCGTTTAATCAAGCTGATTATAATCCATGTACGAGTACTTGAGAGCCAAAGCAAACATGACTTTGATCCCCGCATAGTTTACGTGAATTCTATTTTGACGGATGACTATTTAATTGGAGACCTAGCAGGGCTCGGGCGACCGGTCGTTCTTAAACGTTGAATGCTCGGCGGCGGAGATATACGCGCGGGCTTCGACGTTTCACAAGCGTACGTATTTTCATCGTGGCCGCAACCATATGGCCATATTACCGAAAGTGCGAAGTTATTTCCGACCGGATTCACTATTCTGAGAGCTCGACGTAAGTCTCTTCGCGGGATACACGGGATTCGCGTTGCGGAGGGTGTCTGGCAGCGCGTGCTGAAAATGCCGCATGATTTTGCAAAACAAGCATCTTCTTAGATAACGCGATGGGCGACGTTCGGTGGACGCGTCCGTCTGACGTCAACGTGGAGGTTTCATTCAAAAACAGATCCACACTCTCGTCTACACGCATTCCGCACTTTGATACGCGTTTATGCATTTCGTGAAAGTGATGGATGCCGCAAAAGTATATACTTTGCACAATGTACAGTCGAACCTCGATAACTCGAATCTCAAGGGAGGAGCTATAGAAATCTTCGAGTTATAGAAGTTTCGACTGATCAAAGTTTGAATAAAACAGAATTGACATGAAAATTCGACTTACAGAAGCTTTGCACGAGAGTTTATAATTTTCCGACTATAATGGCTTTTAAAGGAAAAAATTCGATCGTGCTTTTCGAGTTATAGAGATTGCATGTTATCCAGGTTCGACTGTATTGTATCTACAATATCTGCAGATTTACAAGCAGTGGCTACGTTCAGCAGAAAAACGCGGCTTTACAACTGTTGTAAAATTCTTTGATACGATTGGTTTATACACTTGGATCCACGAAGAACTAAGGGCAAGGACCAATCATGTTGAAGAATTTCAAGAACAGTTGCAAAGCTGCTTTCTCTACTGCCGAACGCAGCCAATGTTACATATATATGTTATAAATTTTTGAGCGATAATTCTACGGAAAGAAACGAACTCATGAGTCGCATTTATTGAAACAAATTGTTCATTCGTTTGCTCTTTCTTGCTTTATTGTTAGCCTAAATCCGGTTTAATAGGCGCTTTATTCCTGAACGTTTTTGCAAGTCTTCGCTATTATAATAATACGAGTACTTATGTCTTTCAACTGGCGGTATTTTGGCATCTTTCTTCTTGTACATCGTATTTTATTATCTTAAAAAAAGATCTCTTATCTCTCGAAATAAACACGTAGGCGCGTAGGAAGTTACACATGTTGGATCTGCGTGCCAAATTGTTTTCCGTAAGAATAACCTGCATCGTCCATACAGTTTCGATCGATCTACTTCGGAAGCTCAATTTATATTAAATTGCGATACAATCGCGACACAATCAGTTTCTTCGCGAGAAATTTCTTTCTAAAGTAATACATTCGACAGAAGTAGTGAGGATAATAAATAGTCTCTCTCGTCCACATCGACGGCTTCCTTATTCACTGTTTAATGTCAGGATCCGGTGAATATGACGTGTGACATTTCTTTCTTGTAATTAATTTCGCATAGTTGAAATAGGTATGTCATTTGGTATATTGATGTATCTACACTGAAAAAAGTAATCTTGCAATTATAGCGAGCATTATTTAGATACGAAAAATTAGCTAAAACGGATAAGTGATTATTAAGCACTGCGATACCACATATGTTCTGTATTTAATCAATATAAATAATAACAGAGGCAGAAATTATATCTGAACTATATTTGTCAAATTTAGCAAGAAAGTTTCTCTATAACGTTTAATCAGCCCAGACTCCAATCCAGACTCCAATCATATTTGGTTATGAGACCTATATTTTCTTGCATATATTCTTAGAACATTGCTGCCATAAGTTTTACGTATGACAGACAATTTCTTACAAAAAACAGCGATGTAATTTAAGTGTAATATTTAGAATTCTAGCTGGAACAGCGAAACATTTCCCTCAGTGTATGGTATAAAAATACTAGGTATAATATTGCACGTAATCTGAATATTGGTTTTTAACCTTTAAACCACCACATCCAAATAAATCACACTAACCACAATGTCGGTCTGGCAGACCGCTATTATGCTCCGCTAATTTTATAAGTTAATTATAATAAAAGTGTATGTTTTCTGAATATTTGTTGATGGGGAAAAGGAAAAATATGTTTTAATATGAGGGTTAACAAAAAAATCTCGTATGCAATAGAAATAAAATATATATTTAAATGGTGACAAATAAGAAAATTGTTGACAAGTAAAGTTTTTTAAGATCTTTCAAGATCTGTGAGACCGATATAGTTGAAGGTTAAAATTCCGGCGTTAAATTTCCAATGGCGACTTTATATTAATTGGTTTATAAATTTTGAGACCAATTTTTGATTGTTCCAAGAAGTGATCGTTAAACTTTAAACGATATATTCTTATATCATGGATCATTCACTGAAAAAAGTAATCTTGCAATTATAGCGAGAATTATTTAGATACAAAAAATTAGCTAAAACGGATAAGTGATTAGTAAGCACTGCGATACCATATGTTTTGTGTTTAATCAATATAAATAATAATAGAGACAGAAATTATATCTGAACTATATTTGTCAAATTTAGCAAGAAAGTTTCTCTATGACGTTTAATCAGTCCAGACTCCAATCATATTTGGTTGAGACCTATATTTTCTTGCATACATATATTCTTAGAATATTGCTGCTATAAATTCTACGTATGACAGACAATTTTTTAGCAGATACGAAAAACAGCGATATAATTTAAGTGTAATATTTAGAATTCTAGCTGGAACAGCGAAACATTTCCCTGAGTGTTCCTTTGGCTTTTGCTATGCAAAAGATCAATTTATATTAATTTTATTTATATGAACACGACGCGGATTGACTGCAAATAATAAATTGGCTGTGGTATACACTCACTCCTGCATGCATATATCTACATATAGTAATACCAAGCTTTCATTTCAATCGCGTATCTATGTCGCGCGAGAAGTTATTCTTGCTGAAATTACGCCAGTTTCCACTTGTATTTTGCTTCTTGCGCCCGCGAGTCGTTGATGTCGGGGCGGCAGTACACACATCAGTCTCACCGGTATAGTAAATTCCCGGAGCGATTGATGATATTTCGAGATATCTGCCGCGTATCTTGGCACCACACGTCCCCGCTTCCGCCCGCCGCCCCGTCGCCGCCCGCGCCGCCACCTTCCTCCGAAGATGCATTCAAAAACAGTCTCGGCACGAGTTGGATAATCTTGACATCGCCTGGCACGTCTTGGCGACGTCAATGCGGAGGTTTCATTCATCGTTCCGTATATTTTCGATTTCATCCCACCCCCGCTTCCCGTCTTTGGTCGCCCCCTCGGCGCGGCGCGGCATTTCTTCTTACGTCCGCGGGCCTCACTTGTTGCTCTGCACTGACGCATCATCTCCTATATATAGCCACCGCCGAAACGCCCGATATTATTTTTGACATTCTATTCCGCTGTCGTCGATCATCGGATCGAGAGGTGGTACGAAGAGAGAGAGGAAAAGAAAGAGAGGAGGAGGAAGAGTGGTGGCGGTGGTTGTGGCAAGGTGTCGTTACGCGGCGACCTAAAAATAAGCGGTGAGGTGTCGCGGGAAGACGCGCGGGGGTGTTATTACAAGCGAGATAGATGGATTCTCGCTAGCGACCACCGGTCATTCGGAGTTAACGACTTGTGTGAGAGACGACGTTATAATGTTTGTTGCCCGTACGTGAGCGTGCGCGCGCACAAGCTCCTATTTTTAGACGGCCCGATCGGCAAGATATATACGCGGGCATCGTCAAGGCCGCGCGCGCATTGCGAAACGATTATCGATGTTGGCGCATGTTACTGCTGCAGTCGGTCGCTGGATCCATCTGTGCTCTTTGTATACGACTTTGCACGCGCGCGCTGCTATTCCACGATCGGCCTGCATTGGCATTAAAAGCGGGGACATAGGATTTTCGTCGAAAGTCGCCGCTGTATTTAGGTATTGCGTTTTCGTATGTACGTTATACGTATACGCGAGTCGCGGATGCACACGCTGATGCAACTTTGTAAAAGCACGTGGACGTGTGCTCGGTTCTAAGTAAGGATTTCAGGCTGCATCCAATTAAAATTGCTCTAAAGTCTATTTCGATTGTATAGCTAAAGTAAAGTGTTAACAAATTAGATGCTTATACATAGAAAAGAACTGAATTAGAATTTATATTAAGAATAATTTATCGAAAAATTGATATCTAATCTCTAACTGCTTTATCTTTATATCAAATTAAACTTTATAATAAAAAATATAATTTTTTCAAGACAATTAAATTGATAATATTACATTCTATTTATTGTGAGTTAATGAAATTTAACGTTTTATTTTGCATTTTTTTGTAAGATTTTTAAAGTTCGTTTTATTGTATTTACAGTTAATTATTGTTTCTCATTTACTGATTACATATACTGTATAATTAATAAATTAAATAATTTTTTGAAGAATCGATTTTAAATGTGTGTTTTTGTGGCTTGCCTTTTAACATTACATCTATGATAATCTTTGATACTTTTTCCGATTAAATATTCCGTCAATTCGAGTCTAAAACATTCAATTCATTATTAGTAATTTTAAACTTTTGAATTCTACGAATCATTTCAATTGGCATCAAACTTACTTAATGTACTAAATGTACTTTTGTGTTTTCTTTTTAATGTCGAGAAATTAACTTTTCTTATGGGTCTCTATTGGAAATATCTTTCGCGAGAACATTTCTTAGTATTTTCCTTTGGGCACATATGCTATCTGCCTGCTTCTCAGGTGTGACCAAATGTGTCTGAAATGGTGACCAATCGAAGCTGCTAATATAATACATATTCCCATTGCCTTGATAAACATCCGTTTTCGTGTGTCAAAGTTTTGCGAGGATGTCCAACTTAAAAATTCGACCATGTCCTTTGCCATTTGCGATGTCGTCGACGGAGTGCCATCGTCGTATTCCACTACTCCATCAACTAACATCTAAATTTGATTCTATATTATAACACATTGTAACGACTATCAAATACGAGGACGCGCAATTAAAATTTCATTAGTACGAAAGATTAATCAGCGAAATAAATAACAATGTTGCTGCATGAATAATGTCTCTTGATATAAGGTATAATTTGGTATAATCAATGTCTCATTGACATTTATCTCAAATTTACAGAGGGAACAATTTGATAAATGTTTATTTTGTGTCTCTAAACTATGTTCAGTCATTACCATATTTTCCTTTATTTATTCATTTCGCCATTATTCTATCTATCTCTTTAATAGTTTGTTTCTTTAGGAGAGGAGAAGAGAGAGAGAGTGAGAGAGACTGAAAATCAATTAGAATTTTCTTTAATAGAAAGAAAATTACAAATGTATTTCAAGTCCGAACATTATAGAGACTATTAAGGCTCATTAATGGATATAGACAATGTTTTATTTTGCTTAATTTTAAATAAGAATTGAAATTTTGTACTGAGTGTTAAAGATTGTGTGAAAGGAATAGCGCCTAATAAAATTTGTATCAAATGTGTTATCTCAAATTAATTAAGAGATTTATCTTAAATTTACAGAGATACTAATTTGATGAATATTTATTTTGTATCTCTAAACTATGTCCTCATTACCATATTTTCCTTTATTCATTTTGCCATTATTCTGTCTATCTCTTTAATAGTTTGTTTCTTTAGAAGAGGGAGAGAGAGAGAGAGAGGGAGAGAGAGAGAGACTGAAAGTCAATTGGAATTTTCTTTAATAGAAAGAAAATAAAAAATGTTTTCTAAGTCAAAACATTATAGGTAGAGACTGTTAAGGCTCATTAATGGATATAGACAATGTTTTATTTTGCTTAATTTTAAATAAGAATTGAAATTTCGTACTGAGTGTTAAAGATTGTGTGAAAGGAATAGCGCCTGATAAAATTTGTATCAAATATATTATCTCAAATTAATTAAGAGATTATAGATGAAAGAAAAGGAAAGAAAACCCATCGAATCATCTACATATATATAAACATGCGGAATAATACCATTGAATAATACTATTACCTGCGCCATACCCATTACGTTTCCGGGAAAGTAGATATTAAAATGTTGATGGTCGGTTAAAGGTATACCTGCTGGCGGCTCCATCCATCCCGTCAGCAAAGAAAATAAGTAATTTCTACCGTTTCTTCTGGCGAAAACGATGTAAGTCAGATCTGGTGGGAACACACCAAAATTGGCTGCTCTAGCCGCTTCCTCATTCGGAAATGGAGTTGGCAATAAATCAGACAATTTTCCAGGTCTGGTATAATAATTTCCCTCTTCGTCGGGTCCATCTTGAATCTGTATATCCGGATGCAATATATTATTTTATGAAATGTGAACCGAGTAAAGAAAGCTAATTTTAAATTTTACATTAAAAAAAATTCTATCGAGATCGAGCATTGCTTAAATATTATGAGATTAATTTTATTTAATCACTTACAATTAGTTACTAATGCATTAATTATTAATAATTAAACATTAAGTCTCTGCATGAGTTATTAATTCGTGTATATTCGATAGATAAGAAACATCATGGAGAAATGGCAACACCAGGAGATTACATGGTTAAGATAATATAATATATTATTTGTGTATTATCGTATTTCTATTATCTGTATGTTACGAGAGAGAGAGAGAGAGAGAGAGAGAGAGAGAGAGAGAGAGAGAGAGAGAGCTGTCAATTTCTTATGATAAATAAAAAAATATAATTTGATAAGATATACGAATCATTCATCTATTGATTAACTTTATCGAACAATTTTATACTATTAAACTAAACTTATAGCACATACGATGTATTTACGATAACATATATTATTATATATAGTATTGCGAAATAATAATTTACTTGTGGAAAGACATTTATAAGATTGTGGTAGGAAAGTAACCGTTTTAAATAACTTTTAAAAATTATTTTAATGTATATATATATATATATATATATGCAAGCTATGAGAAAGGTTTTTCCACGCTACTTTCCATCTTTTTTCTTCATTATTATTTAGATATATAAAAGAAAATGGAATTTAAAGACCTTAGAAATATTTGGTGACTTTCGCGGGTAACTGAATCTCGTCCGACTGTTCAACTTTGCGAACATTTCGGACAAAAATGTATATTTCGCGCTACACGGGGATGATAGCTAATCTCATTTTTGCGTGGATGGCAAACGTTCTCGGCGAGCCAGCTCGTAATTGAATTACACGTCGTCGTCGAGCGCAGACTCGAAGTAAGTCAATTACGAAAGCTGCGGAGAAAGAGGAGGAAACGAAACGAAACGCCTACGTCAGAAGAGGAATCGCCGCGGGTCCGGCGCGTGATAAATTCAGGCCTACCGTCTACCTCATATTCAGCGGCAATGGCCTTGACCTCGTCCTGCGTGTGCGACACGTCGACCAGATCCATGAATTTCACATATTGCAAACTGTGACACGAGTAGCATACGGTTCTGTAGACTTGCCAGCCTCTCCGCACGGCCGAGTGGTCCAAGGACGTGAGGTATCCCTCGAAGTCCCAGGGATAGCTGGGTATATGCGCTTCGCGGCCCGTCGCCTGAACCGAATGATCCAGGAAATATAAGAACGCCCCGCAAGTCGCACTCGCGCCCACCAGCACGCCTAGAGTATTCCTCAAAAGTCTTCTTCCACACTTCCACCCGACGCCGTTGCACCACGTATAAACTCGACCGAATTGTTGCTGTTGAAAGCAGCGTTTTCTTCGTAAAGAAAAGCAGCTTTTACTCAAAAGGGTAGCCATTTTTTCTCTGGCACGAACTTTGGGGAAACAGTTGACGGTATAGCGAATCGAAAATGTCTTTAAGTAAATTCATTGGGTGCCGCGTGAATATTTACACATTTATAAAATACCTATCTCTCATAATTATTAAATTTTATCGTTAAATTAATTTATTTGCATTTAACTATGAATTTATTTCTGATTCGTATTTATAATCACGTTCTTGCTAAGGAACTTAACTAAAATTTGTAAGACAAGAAGAAACGGATTCATTAGATGAATCTTGAGAAATTATTTTATATTCGAAGCGCTACATTTCGTATTTATAATATAAAAACTCGTCTGAACAAAAAAAAAAGTTTTGAAATACGATTCGATTTAAAATAGATTATCACATAATGAATTCAGTATTCGTTACGAATCAGATAGTCAAAGACTTGCCAAGAATATGTATTGTGTGTTACATATTATGTTTGTAGAATTGCGGCAATAGCCGAGCACATTTTGCTGTTTTAATTATTATCGATAAAAATGTATCATAAAACAAGGAGGTCTTGCATCATAACATGCTAGAAAAATTCAACAGAAATTGCTGACATTGAAAGAACAAAATTTGAGCATTGCGTATTTGCGTTGTATATAAGCAGAAAATAAACCGAAATTGAGAATGACATTAATAAAAGTGTGCGAATCAAGCATTTGCATGGTCGAATCGAATCGAATTTTTTGTAACATGTTCGAAATAGAATCTCTTTAATTCGAATCAAATATGAATCAAATCTGAATAAAATTTTCCCAGATTTACATTACATGTCAATTTAAACGTAATAAATATGAAAATTTATGAATTACATTATT